TATAGTGTAGTCTGCTTCTGCTTTTCTAATTCTATATTAAACATCTATAATCCTTTATATCTCTTTCTTTTCTATTATTTTGTGTAAGGGCCTACACTTTTCTCGTAACACCTCTAATCTTCGGCACTTACATTATTATAACCCATGTGTGTTTCAAGTGCCGTAAAACTCTCACTAAACTAAAACTGACGAAACCGGTAGGCAATTCGCAATGTTACAAATATTATCATCATTATAGTTATTGCAACAACAACCACAACAGCAAGAACCACAACAGCGACACCACCAACAACAACGGTACGGTACTCACTCCAAGATATCGTCTTTCTTGAAGCTCGGTATCTCGTCCATCTTGGCGGGCCTTTTTGGCATATCCCCGAACTTCTGTTCTTGCTTTTCTACGGCGTCTAAATCTCTGTCTAGTCCAGGCTTTTCCAACCACTCTTTCTTCAAGAAATTTTCTAAAAGTAAACAACAAAACAAAACAAAACACAAAAATTAAAAGTGGTATTAGAAACCAAAAGGTGACATTTTTGTAACTAAATTTGTTAACAACTAGAAAAAAAGGGTGACATTTTTGTAACAAAATCTGTTAGCAACTTTAAAAAAGGGTGACATTTTTGTCCCTAAATCTGTTAGCAATTTGAAAAAAAAGGGTGACATTTTTGTAACTAAATCTGTTAGCAATTTGAAAAAAAGGGTGACATTTTTGTAACTAAATCTGTTAGCAATTTGAAAAAAAAAGGGTGACATTTTTGTAACTAAATCTGTTAGCAATTTGAAAAAAAGGGTGACATTTTTGTAACTAAATTATTATGTAAGCAGTCGACGAGAGAAGCGGACAAAACAACAAAACAGAACTGTTTTTTTGGGGGGTTAATTTTTTAAACGCGAGCGTTTTTACGCCTTCTCCGACACAAGTTAGCCCAGGAAGAGGCTTCCACCATACTTCTTATCAGGGCCAACCGAGATTCTTAAAAACTGTTTCCACACCTGAATGGAACCCGAGTCTTCTGGGTGCGACAGTGAACTGCTCTTTTGGTGGGTTTTTAAAAAAAATAGTATTATGAGAAGCACATCGACACGATAATGTCCTGACCATGGTGGAAAAAAATGAAATAGACAGACAAAACATAAAATAGAGAAAGTGAAGGAGAAGGTCCTACCAGCGGTGCCCTCCAACCACCCGTTAACTGCTGCAAGATTGCTCGAAGACAGTTTAGTTTAGTAAGAGTTTTACGGCACTTACAGCACAATAAGGTCATGTAAGTGCCGAAGATTAGATGTGTTACAAGAGAGTAACAAACACAAAAAAGAAGGAGGGGAGATAACGACGACAGATGTTTGATAAGAAAGAAGAAGCAAACAACACCAGAGCACGCGCCAACCACCCACGCTCGAAGACAGAATTTATAAACATAGGAATGAAGGAGGGATGAAATGAAATAAAAGGAATATTTGGGCTGCATTTTACCTTGCTCTTTGCCTCTGTCCATTCTGTGGGATCCTGACGAGAGGTTGAACAGATTTTGCACAAACTTGTCGCCCAGCTAGAGGAAAGGCAAACACACAAACAAAACATTGATAAGCTGTTAAAATGCACCATAGTGCGGTCCAAAATTTGAGGCGCAACTTATGATGGTCAACTATTTCCTAAACTGAAGAACATAGACTCTCCCCCTTTTGCACAATGACTTGCATTAATTTGTCTGAACAGATCAATATTTATTTGGTAAACACATGTTTGCTGTATTTTAAAAACTAATTTTAAAAATCCAAGAGGGTGGTTGCAACAGATTCTTAATGAGTTTACAGTTGAGGCAATATCGTTTTCAAAAGCTAGTCCCACATTTCCCCCCTATCGTGACGTTATCTATGTGAGCTGTGATGTAGGCAATATGCGTAAGCAAAATGAGTGTGATAGGTTCTGTGAACAATGCCAGAGTTTTCTTCTTCTTCTATTTCTTCTTCTATTTCTTCTTCTATTTTTTCTTCTATTTCTTCTTCTTCTTCTTCTTCTTCTTCTTCTT